AGAGAGAGAGAGAGAGAGAGAGAGAGAGAGAGAGAGAGAGAGAGAGAGAGCGGACGAGCAGCGCGCTCGATTATCGCGCAACAGATCGACGTTTCGTGGATTGCTAGCACGTGATATACGGGAGATTAAGCCTGTGTCGACCGACACGCACGTGTCGGCACGTGGACGTATCTACCTGCTTCAAAGTCAGCAACGCGCGACCCCGCGATACGTCGCCATACCGGCGAGAGAGAAAGAGAGAGAGGGAGAGAGAGTATGCACGAGCGCGAACACAAAAGACCCGGTCGTGTGTGGGTGATGATCGTCGACGTCGCGTGGAACGCGAAGTATTATTTGATCAAGAGCCACTGAGCTGGAAAATGATAGAGCGAGGCATCGAAAGGAATGGGAAGGAAAACAGTTTTTCGAAAATAGTCGCGATAGGTCGGCCGTTGTGAAAGGAAACGTAAGGGGGGGGGGGATTAATTACGTAAAGCGAGTACGTTTTTTTCTTAGACACGCAGCACGCGAGGAAGATATTTAAAGTCGCGAAGATGTCGATGTCTTCTTGTTTTTATCAACGATTCGAACGCGCGAGCGGTTATGCCACACAAGTTGAACGCGATTAATGAAGTTTTTCTAGAGAGAGAGAGAAAGAGAGAGAGAGAGAGAGAGAGAGAGAGAGAGATAAAACGAGAGACGAGACGGTAGTCCTTTCCTTTCGATTGATAATTCTAAATTATCGCGTCGATTTTCTCGCTCGTTTACACCGCGATGTTGTTTCGCGGCGATTGAATTTTTCGCAAAGCGCAAAGCGGGAGAAATTGCCAGCAATTTCCGGCAGAACGTTTCGCCGAGCCGGTTTCCTTGGAGTTTGTACGCCTCGCTTCTTTGTCGGAAGGACTAAAGGGAATTCCTTCGCGCGGGATCTCGCGGGTGCTCTTTGATATCGCGATATTGAATGCTGGAACATTCATAACAGGTGCGTCCGTCCGTAACTTTGTATTCCGCCGATTTGTGTGCGTTTGAGGTTTCAAACGGAAACATCCCCGTCGCGCATATTCTTAGGAATATGATAAACGCGAGACTTCCCCGCCGGATCTTCTCGCCGAAATTCCCGCTCGAGGACCGACGACTCGGTGGACGACACAATTGATATTATCGTGAAATCCAACGTCATCACGGAGAATCGGTAACAAAATCGCCAGCCGTTTCTCCACTCGAAAACTTAATATAAAACTAAAATTTATACTCCGGACGATTAAATTCCCTTTGTAGCATTTATTGTGCTCTTTTGACGCTACAACTTATTTCCGTTTTCTCCGCTTGAAAATTCAATGTCGGGAAAATTTCCAATTTCGACTCGGCTAATCGACGGTTGGACCGTCACGATTTCACCTCGCGAAATCGCGAATCCCATTGTCGGCAGAAAGAATCGATATTGCGCGATAATCCGCGCAGCGGCACCGTCATCCCTGCGTGACGTCGTTAATCCTTGGCGCGGAAATCCTGGACAGAAACGCCGGCGTATAATCCTCGTGAGAGAGGACGTCCTAATTCAACACGTCCCGCGGCACCGCAAATGTCGGATAATGTGCCATAAGTGTCACCGGCCGGGACGATTTATGCGAACCGCGTACATGCGTTTTCGCCGGCGAACACGCGAAGCCGATACGACGGGGTTAGCCCGGGGGCTCAAATGGTGAGGGTGGCCAAGGGTGGCTTGGTAAATGGTGTGTCGAATAACCCGAGCAATATTGCCCGATGTTTGCCATATTACCCCGCNCTCCGGGGTTTTGCGGCAAGACGTGAGGGGGGGGGGGGGGAGGTGCCCTCTGTAATTCCGCGGCGAAATTTTCCGAAAGTAGAACGCGACCGAGCCGTCGATTTTTGAAAGGCCTCAATCAAACATCGTAAAATGGAGCGAACGGAGCAGCTGAAAAATGAGTTTGGTTGGATACCTACCTGACAATGGACGATCAAACGCATTTAGGTTGGAGAAAATAAAATTCGTAACTGGAAATTGTTTTCCCCTTCAACCAAAACGCGTTTGGTCGTCCACTGTCGGGTATACAGTAATTTTGTGTTGAATTTAACATACTTTACATACTCGAACGTCTACGTAAATTTTTGTGTTAATTTGACGCAAGGTGGATATGGCTGGAAAATAATACTAATGTTATGTCGAAAATTAACATCCATAATATGTTGATCGATGCTAAAGTATAAAGCGTGTTGTTTTAACGCTTATACATGTTGAGCATCGACTCAAAATAAATTGAGATATCAAAGATAATATATTAAATTAACACACGGGTATATTGAAAATTTAATAACACAATAAACTTAACAAGAACCGATTTTCACATAATGTTTTCTTACCATGTAGGCCAACCAAATTTATTTTTCAGCGCGGTGTTGAAAATTCGAGGCTTGATATTTCCAAGAATTTCTTCCCGCGATAACTCCCTCCTCGTTCGCGTTTCGAGTCGGAGGCGCATTAAAGGGTTGGCTTCGGAAACAGCGGAACCGCCGGTTTCACCTATGAGGTAGGTACTTCAGGGAGGAAAGTGGCTCGCTCGACGTGTGCAATATTGCGTCGGGCGCACGTCGATGATCCGGAAGATTTGCGAAGTTTAATTTGTAATTAATAGTCGCTCACCGGTGCATACGAGTTCAAGAGGGTGGGTCAGTCGGGCTTACAGCGAGCTCAAGTATATTGGATTCCAGCCGGCGCGAG